AGTGGATCACTGTAACAATCCTGCCTCATTGGCACCAGCTGACAGAATTTTGTTGAAAAGGCTCCTTGCTTCCCTATGCTCTCCTCTCATTCTGTCCTCTCGTTCTGGTAGTACATGAAATTGCTTTAGCAAATCTGCTAAAGGCCCTCTGCACCCCTCAGGGTTTCATCTCTCAAGCGGCACAGAAGACACACATCCTGATTATACATTATCCACTTTGACAAAGTGTACAGAAATGGGAAGTGATTTACAGTTCTTCAACAACAGTCCCAAAACCATGACTTAGTCAAGCAGTTTTGTACCCAGCCTAGCTCTAGCAAAGCAAGCAGATGTATTTATATTTCAGTTTCTAGATGAGGCAAAGTTCTTTTCCACTGGCAAAGGCTAATGTTCAGAAGAAGCTGGAACAGGGCAATGGGTGTTTCACTTCGCAGTTTTCAACGCATTTCCTGCTGCAAGTAATTAAATTAAATGAAGAGGTTGACATACCATGTAATGGGAAACTCAAAAATCTTCTAGTTCTGATCCTGCACATGATGTGTGCTGGTATTAATGATAGATCCCGTTCGGTTTGCACAACAGTGAAAAGCATGATTATTGAGCTTCAAGGGCACACCCAAAGTGTGCTGCTTTCCACATTTCAAGAACTGGTTACTGCTAAGAAGGAATGATCTTGTACAATAGTAGCATGACTGAGAAGACATTGGAAGACACATACAGATCTGTCTAGTTTATCACTTGCACTCTACTGTTTTGATAATTTAATATTCTTTATTTGTAAAATTAAAAACCTATTATTTTTAATTACTGCACACAGTCACGATAAAACCAAATTTATAGGCTCCAAAACTGCCAGCTGTATGAATAAAGCACAGTACTTTGCTCTACAAAGCAGTTAGGCCAAACGCGTTATTTTCACAAAATAAAGAGCTACTCAGAAAAGCAGTAGTACTAGCCAGGGCAGTTTAGGGCAAGTATTTTACATGCTCCCAAGAAGCTTTTGCTGAGGATGAAGTCATAACACGAAACCATTTATCAATCTGTTGAGTCATCTGCTTTATGAGCTTTATGAGAATAGGCTGCACTCATGGATTTCTCCAGTTTCTCTACAGCCCTTGAATACAAGCAAACAGGGATAACACCAGTGCTTACACAAGCAGCATCTGCTGTCACGTCCTTTCTCCTTTGCTGATGATCACTCTACAGATAACACCTGTTGCTATTGTTCCTATTCCTGTTTTCCAGTGTTCAGTCACACGATTTTTTTGTCTCCGCCTTGCTTCCAAGTCTTCCTTAATGAAACAGACAGTAGTCTTCTAACGTTATGCCTTGACAACGCAGATTGTGGAATTCCACTGCCTTGCACCCAAGTCAAGAGGAACAGAGCTGACCCAGCACAGTGCAACACTGGAAACCCCTATCTGTGATTCATATTGCCCCACAGGACGACATTATCATCAATAAATCCATACAACCCTTCCGGGCAGAGTTAACACGAATATAAGTTCTGATTCTCACAAAGACTGTGAAAGAACATGGAAACAGATCTTCTTGGAGCATTCACCCAATCCTCCTAGCAGTTTGTAATATTTCAATTTACTTGCAGTTTTTATTGTGTAAGTTCTCAAAAGTGTAAAGCCACATTTCTGTGTAAAGGGCAAATAAGTAAGTAAATCCAAGCAAACAAAAAAGCCAACCACGCAAATGCAAATAAATAGTCAAATACCACCATTTCTTTCGTGCAAGAGGAAAAATACCTGTGAACTATCAGGAGAGCAACAGAGCATTTTACCATAATGGCAATCTTATGATTTCAACAAGACTTCGGTACCACAAATCATTCAGTGTCCCTACGCTATGCAAAACAGAAGAGTTGCGCTGGTGAGCAAGATCTGCTGTTTTTTTTGTGACTGTTTGTAAGAAAAACACCCCCAAAACCAAAAACTCATCACCCCACCCCCCAAAAAAACCTGAATGCTTTACCTCTAGTTAGATTAGGATACAATGAAAACAGGTTCCTCATATATCAAAGTATCGTCCAACAGGCAAAAAGAGGTAGGATATGAAGAGCAGCATCTTCCAATGATGTCTCTAAGAAAGCCTTGTCTGCTGACTCACCAAGACTGACACAATCACCTCCTTACTCTACTGCCCCGAGAGAAGCATACAAGCACTAAAGTGGTTGTTATGCTTTCTAATGACAATGCAGCTGCCAGGGATGTGCCTACCTAAAACATTCAGCACGTGCTGCACTTTAACTTCACTTCCGTGAAAAGTTTACCAAGCACCCAGAACATCTCTAGGATATACAGCTGAATACTTCAGATATGCTTGCTGCTACCGACACAGAACTAAAAGAGATGAATCACAGAAATTTAAATATATTTGCTTCTTTTAATGAATTGACCAATCTGAAAGAACAAAATAAATGTTCTAATAAAGGCCCCTCAGGGAACAATTTCTGCAGGAAAAAAAAAGCATCAGCAGAAGTTCCATTGAGCTGTTATCCCACAAGAGTTCTATTCGGACATGCACTCTGCTATTACAACTCAGTACCCTTTTCCCTTTTCTCCATTTTTACAGGACTCGAAAATTTGCAGGATGAGTTCTGCTAGCTCTTCAAATCTCCCCAACCATCCTACTCTTCTTCCTATTCTAACCACAATATTCAGCCACAGACAAGAACAGACCCTTTCTGCAACCATTTCAATTATACTAGCCGACTGCATACCTACCAACCTACAAAACAAGTTCGTAACAATGTGAGGCAACCTTTTGTCTGCCTTTCACCCCAGCCTTAATTCAATTTTGCATCTCCAGTGAATTAACTTGATCACAGCCTGCACTGCAAGGTTATTTATACACACTAACACAGGCGAAATCCAACTACGCTACAACATGAGCCCCACTTAATACTGGCTCCAGCAGGACATAATAGTGCCTATCACATAGACCTGCACTTCCTACTATTGTGACCAGTCTTTCACCTAGTCCTACATATCACCTGCAACCTGCAGGCTTAGGCCACAGAGACGTTCATTTATTCCCTTCTAAAAACCAAAAATAAATGATGTCCTAAGAGCAGCCATCATTAATTTGATTTGCTGGCAACTTCCTAATTTAAAAAAATTACTTAAAACAGGTTATTCCTTCCTCAAGCAATGCTGAAAATGTTAACACAATCATTGTAACACCTGTACTTATCTGACTAGCTCCCCAGTGGGTGGCTCCTATTATTGCCAAAGTGACTTAACCATTAACCCTGTTTAAAGATGTCCAAGCTAACTGGGACAAATTCTACCTCAGTTTCAGGCTGCAATACAGATCTAGGCAACAGAGTCAACCCAATGACATATTTTTGTTAATAGAGTCATCATTTTATGTATTTTTAGGAAGAGTTCCTAAAGGCTTTAAAATCATTTTCTACAAAGATCTGCACTCAAATTTTAACTTCACTAATCATGAATTTGAGCTCCTGGGATAAGCAAAAAAAGGAGTAAATGAACCATCCTTCTCAAATTGAAATACTGTCCTTCTGTATCTCTTAACACACCATTGCCACCAAAAGATTGCTAATACACAGGAAAGGATAGGACAGCCACCGAAAATTATTCTCCATTTCTTAGTCCGTAATGGAACATTTTTTTTAGAAAGCAATAAAAAAGCAGCAGAATACATCACAAGATGTACTCTGCTGGTCGGATTAGTTTAAGCTAGCATTAGCAAAAATAAAAGCTCAGTTAGTAAGGTCTTCATTGCACAGTTCCAGGCAACCTTTTGACAAAAGGTAGTCTGAAAGCAGCTGGTCAAAATCTTTTGGTAAGATTTTGATTCTGACACCAGAAGTGACTTGCAGAACCACAAAAATATTATTCACATCTCTTTTTCTTCAGTAAGGTATTTCTATGATGATTACTTTTTTCTTTAAATTCCTTTCTTCCCTCTTCTGAACTTCTTTCTTACATTTCACTCTTTCTTATTTCACACTTTTCTTCCATTGAGAAAGGAAAGAAGGGAAGATGGGAGATCAAAAATGCAGCAAAATGATTACTAATAATATTTACTGCCCATTCTCAGTTCGGCAGTAACCCAAGCAAAACCGCAACAACAAAAAACCCTAAGAACCTCTCAAACTTCTGGAATAAAGGTATTTTTTTCCCTCCCTCCCCCCATCCATCCCAGTTCCTTGAACATCTGCAGGTCTGAACCTTTTATTTATAGTCACCTACATTTTCCTCCCATGTCAATGCAACTCATCCAGGAATTAAGATTTTTATTCCCAAAGACCAGCTCTTTCCTTAATTGGCAAGAATTGACACCCAAAACATGCCTCATAAGCTACCACTTAAAAGCCTTCATACTTGCTGTGATACCAAACAACACCTCTTCTATGAGTCTGCATTTTCTCTGTTAACAGTGTCCCTTCCTCTGCTGCTTTCCAAATACCTTCTGCATACTCTTCCAGCACAAGGGGATTAACAGCTTTCAAAGAAAGCGAAGAAAAGAAAATGGTTCTCAGATTCTCCTTCCTGCAGATGTAGCTTAATATCTGAAAGTACTTTCGGTGTCCTCTGCAGCAAGGACAAGAAGAATAATTACTTCTACTGTCATTACAGGTTCACATTTTAGAGCTTAATCATGTGGTTTCACTGAAGTGCTCTACTGACAAGATACAGGGGTGTTTTTCAGGAGCACGGATGGAATGAGATGATCCCTTTCCCACTTGCTAGCAATAGAAGCTCTGCCTTTGAAAATCTTCTACAATTTAAATCTCTGCTAAGAAGTAAAGCCAGCATTGACATATTCCAAAGTCAACTAGTGACAGGACAAGTTAATGTGGTATGAACTGGTGAGGATCTAAAGCAGGTCACTTCCTACAACACCACGTTTAATCTTGGTTTTGATGCAACTTCTGGTTTTTCTTAATGATCAAATGAAGCTGCTTTTTGAGCAAGCTGCCTGCTGTAATTTTTTTTTGTAATAAAAATATTAAGTGGCACCTTAGACAATTAAATTCCTGTGAGGCTGCAAAGTTGACCATGCGGGGTCTTGGTAGTGTCAGTGCTTTCCCATGCACTTTCAAGGAGTGCTCTTTCAGCTGGCTGATTGTCATGGTGGAAAATGAGCAGGAGGAACATTTGTAGGCATGTTCACCTAGGTGAGCGAAATACAGGCAAGTCATCAGCTCACAAAAGAAACAAAATGGGGCCCCCATACTTCTCTTACTGAACTCGGCAGTAAAATTCCCGTGGACTCTTCAGCGAAAGACTGATCCCAAAGAGAACAAGCTATGTGCATCTCCTTGTTGGAGCAATCTGGAGTGTGCGGATACAGTCACCTGCTTTGGACCAAAGTTTCGCTTTCTGACAACCGCAGATCCAGTAACCGATGCCAATAAACAGAGACCAGACTCTTAGCATGCCTGTGTTGCATGGTATGAGAGAAAACAGACTCTGGGATGAAAATGGAGTCACTTAACTATAGCACCTCCAAATTTCTTTGGGAGCACAGCAACTAGAAAGGGTGAAGTCTTCTGTTTCTGCATGCAGCATATCTAGCATCCTTATTAATGAAGGAAGAAGGACACTATAAAATGCTAACAAGGGGCCGTCCAGAAAAAAAAAAAAAAAAAAAATGAAAAGAGGGGGGGAAACATTTACATTTGGGGAAGGTTGCATTTTCCTTATGAAAAACCTGCCATTAGGCAGGAGTACTCTTCACAGAACTGGGAACCAAGTCAAGGCTGGTTTACTACAAGAAGTGATCATGGCAGTACCAAGAACAGTGCATATCTGTAAGGCTGTGTGAAAGTGTGTTATAAGTAATGAACAGTAGTGCATTTAATTTTGAATACATTCCAAGCAATAGAGACAGCAAACAAGGGGAAACAAATCCTGAGACAAGATTTGTTTTGCATTAAGCATGGAGGCAACTGGAACACAAAGTGAAACTGTCCCAACACAAACAATGTGATATTATACAGGTGCCAAGTTATTGTTTTGGAAGTGCCACTTCCATGTATAAGAGTAACACTGGCTACATATGAGTTGTACATGAAGTGCCAAAACTAATACAGGAATGAAATATTCATGAGTAGTAACAGAAGAACAAGAGTTCTGATAATGAACGAAGGAGAACATGTTTTCCATCTCTCAACAAATTTAGCAGACAGGTTCTCAAACAGCATTGTTTCCAACATTGGAAATAACTGAACCAAATGAGAATGTGAAAACACATGTATTGCAGCATGTCAGAGTAAGCACACCTGAAATGATCAGCAACCATCCTACACAAAAATAACTCCTACCCCTGTCTTCCAGAAGAACTACACTAATCATTTGGGCAAAACAGAAACTCTTAAAAAGCCTCTTTTGATACATATGAAAAAGAACAGGTCACTTAAGAGTCTGAAATGGTGAAACAAGAAATTGTCCCACATACTTTTCAAAAGGCATTCCTCCCCTGCACATTATATTATGTATATATTACCTTTTTACAAACAGAAAGAAAACTTTTTTGTATAGCACGTACAACATGTTGCTCAATGGAACAGGATAATATAGGGACAAAAGAAACTCCAAGGTATAAGATACCAGTGAGATACAGATATAGACCTTCATGTTTTGTTAGTGTATGAGATTCCTGGACAACAGTAGGCACCAACCGTGAACCTTAAAGCACCCCAAGACATTGAAGCAAATAGAGGACAATTACATATTAAGCAGTCTAGACACAACTAATAAATACATCCACTATTCAGCCATAACAGTTCAGGTCAACATCAGAATGAAAAGATGTGTTTGATTGCAGAGGAAAGACTACGGTTTGGCTTAACAGAAGCCTTCTGCACTTTTTTGACTGCTAGTTTTGCATTTCATAAAACAATTACGTTAACACACATCAAATAAATAAATCAAGAAATATATATATATGGTGTGTCTCAACACCAGATATGTACTCAAAGCATTACGTTCCAGATTACATAGAAACTGAGCAGGCCCAACACTCTGTCTTACAATCATCCATTTGTACATGCAGTGCATCCAGTGTCATGACTAATGAAGCAAGGACGCTAGAAAATACTAACAAAGGCCCCTCAAAAAATATGCAGGCATAAAAAAGAACAGGTGAGAAACTTCAGATGAAAACAACAGACAGCCCATTTAGAGATACTGTACACTGTTCTCCTCCATGCCAAAGGAGATGGCATATACTGGATGAAAAACAAACACCAGAAACACTGACTGGTGCCAGCTGTTAGGCAAGAATGCATTTTATAGTCCACTTAATTTTGACCCATTCCGACAAAATAAGGGAGAGAGGCAGACTGAGTAAAAGACTTCAGGATTCAGGATTGTACCGAATTTTGAAGATCTCCAGGAGACTTCAGAAAATTCAGGGGGATTGAAGTTTTCACTTCTAAATAAACAGATAATGAGATGATTGACAAGAGACCAAAAAAATGGTAACAAAAGAGAAGTTCAGAGAACCACTGTGTTATTTGAGAAACTGGGGAGTCTGAGGAAAACTCTTCATAACATCTTTATTCAGTAGTATATGTTTCTGAAGGATTGACTCAAAACACAACACAGGAAAGCTGTGACTGAAAAACAAGCATTTTTTTCTGTGATGTGAATATTCGTTTGGTAGAAATGGACTGAGGAAGAAATAAGCCTTTGGAAACCCTTTTACACAAGACATTGTGCAAGCACTATCTAAGCAACCATTAAATTGTGTTCTTGTATGATGCAAAACATGGTCCTTCAAGGACTGTCCACTAATCAAGTTGAAGAGCACAAAGTCATAATAAATAAATCAATGACTTACTTGAAGAGAAGTGTGAATTAAACATTAGCTGCACGCTAACTTTGGTTCTAAAAATCTGACAGGTTCAAACATGGTAACACGAAGTAGCTTAACTGTACAATAGCATAAAGAAAACATTATTTTATGGTTGGCAAAGACAAAGAACCATGTCACCTCTGTACAGCATGTGGGACTCTGTAAACTGGAACTGCTGCATATAGTTGGATTTCCTAGAAGGGATAGAATGCCATGGTCCTGTACAACAGGAGGTTGGCAAAAGTTAAGCTAATCCACAATACCCATCCAAGTACAGAAGAGAGTCCTGGCACAAGCACTGTAAAATCCGAAATCAATACAGGAAATGAAGTAGAAGCAACCATCAATCCCTCCTACATTTCTGTAGATGAAAAGTGCCTTTGTATCAATGGCAACAATTATCTTGGGTTTTTTATTATTTTAAATAGCAGACAGCTATAACAGGTCCTGCCTTTTCTCCCCATTTTACTATCTTCCTCCTCCACCCCTACCGGAGTATATGACATAGTGTAAACAAATACTAAAAAAAGAAACATACTTCTAGCCCTTTTGTCATCAGTTCCAGGAATTTCTACTTGCAAGTTTTAACAGCTGGGCTAGTTTTTTAGATTGGTCAATATTCTGTGATTTCCAACAGAGTGCATGTTTGGACTGTGGTTTGCAGGTTGATTTTTTTTGTCCTTTTAACTATAAAGATGCAACTGTAGCCAACGGAGTCAGTGGTTTTCGACTCCAGATTTCTGATAACCTTTCAATGCATGACGCGTAACAGTGCCAAGAGTCTAGGACCAAGGAATAAAGATAATGAAATTCTGAGTCTCGCACTTTTTAACAATCAAATGTGCAACACTTTGAGGTGACCGATCCTGTATGACACATCACCTTTCCAATTCTGGTTCATCAGAAGCATGGTTGTTTGCTTGGTTGTATGGATTCCATACTGCAATACAGAGATTTGCAAGACAAATTTCCATGTAGGATAATGAATCGTGCCATTCTCAGTCTGCTGCATGCAGACCTCACTCCCAAAATTTGCAGTGTTTGGTTTTAACATGAAAGCTAGTGTAAGACTCTACCAAAACCAAGGTGCAATCCACAATCCTTTTCCTAGAGTCTCCTAAAGCACAAACACAAATACAAACATAGAGGAGCAAAGGTCCATGCCAATCCATTAAAACAATGGTATAATCAGACTGATTAAATTCTCTGGGAAACAAGCAGAAATAATAAGAAAAAAATCATTCATATAAAAGAAAACAGAAGAAAAGGAAGGAGTTCTTGAAGTACTCATCACTGTTTTAAATTCTTATCCTTCCAAAAACATTATCCAAACTCACACTAATTCCAACACGTACATAGGCTGACCAATCCTGACTTGCCTTTGAAAACGTTACCCAAATTAGATGATAAAACTCGTGATTCAAATCAGCATCTCTGATCAGCAACAAGAATACACGGGCAATTTCAGCTGCTGGACTGCAAAACCGAGAGTGAAAACTTACCAGCGTGAGCCTTCAGTATATGGGTTTTCAGGCGGCTATTATATGAGGACTTGAATGGGCACAGTTTGCAACGGAATGGCTTATGGTGTCCATGATGGGTCTGCATATGACGATCCAGACTTGAAAAGAAAGAAAAGGGGAACATAAAAGAGTAAATAATTTCAACTATTCCTTCAGATGCAAAGCAAAACACTTAACAGCAATAATAAATCAAATAAGAGGCAGACCAGGCTCAACTATCCTTTCTCATACTCTCTATTAAATTTCAGTAGGTCTGCTTACAAAATAAAGTAAAATCTAATCTGAGGAAAAGGAGCAGAGCTGACACCAATTCTGTTATGCAGAAAGCAAGCCACTTAAATAAACTTACAGCACAAGATTAGTATAAATTAAATTATATCCAATCCAGACTTCAAGGACCAGCTGAAGAAACAAGAAACAGACAAGAACAGTAAAACTGTCATTACAGAATTTTTCTTTTTCTCCTGGTAAAAATTTTTGTGAAAATATGGCCCCTTTTGTCCTGTTGATGAAGAGGGGGAGGGAAGTATTTTTGACCAGCTTTACTGAGGAAGCCTTTCGGTTACAGCAGCAAAAGCAGATTAGAGATCCTGTTCTGGGGAGGGTGCCAGCAGGCTGCAGTTGATGAGTTCCAGGATTAAAAGGCAGCAGTTTCAGAAGTAACAGTGTGGGACATTCTGCATGAAGCTCAAGAAGAGAAGCAGGGGTGGCAAAGACTAGCCTCTGCTTTCTCCAGGGAAACTGGAAGTTACTGACAGCCTGAACACTGGGGGGTGATCAGAACCTTCTCTCTCTCCAGAGTTTCTTATAACAGCTCAGTCACGTTCAGAAGGGGAAAAAAGATGTTTTCCACATTTTCTAACAGAAGATCAAATTCATTCTATCTGAGTGAGTCCTGCAGAGCTCTGCAGTTCCTACGCTGTGGCTGTGGCTGACAGCCATGAATTCACAGTCTCCAGGTGGCAGGCAGGTAGTTTCAACTTGAGTTGTAAACATTTCCAGTACAACCTCCTCTTTGGACACATTCATGCTTTGTGATCTCGTCTTAGTTTGAGTCATCTTATGCGTGGTGATGGAACAATAATGGGACAGATACAGCAGAGTGGAGGAGTGGCAATTTGCCAAAACTACTCCCCAACCTGCCACCTTAATTCTAGATCTATTTCAGGCTTATTTCCTTTTATTTTTCCTAAACTATCCTGTTCTTATTTTACTGAATATCAACACATAGATCAAACGCAAGTTGTTCAGCCCTCTCACACTACGCAAGACTGTCACAGGATCCTTAGTTCCACACTGACAAGAGCTTGAGCCAGAAAATCCCTGTTTACAAGACCTAACACTGAAGTCTGTGTATTCAAAGATCTGATAACAGCAAACAAAAAAACCAAAAAACCCCCCTATGTCTCTTCTCAGGGCCACTTCATACAAATACAATTTAACAGAAATCCAGGATGGAGTTTGTGGCAAGATAAAATGTACAGCTTTTCCAGACAGATGGGAAAAAAGTCTTCTAAATGAGTAAGGCATTGAACACTAGCAGTGAATACTTCATAGAACAAAACTTGTTTTAAACAGCTGACAGGGAATGAGCTTACTTAACAATTAAAGCAGACTGCCAAAGATGTATATAATAATTATCAAGCTATTATAAATCTATACCTTAAGGTATTCTACACAGCAACAATTAAAACTATATTCACACCCACATACTTTTCCAGCAAAATTCTTCCGAAGGCAGGTTTTTAAGTTTTTGGTCAGATTTGAGAGAACAGTGGACTGTCTTCTTTCACAGACTTCCTCTCCCAAGAGAGTCATTGCATCAGAAACAAAAATAAAAGATGAAGCAGACAACTTCAACAGCAGCGACAACACCTATTATCAAGTTAGGTGATACCTGTAGAGTTCTTCCCTGCCATCCACCACTTTCTGACTTACCCGTCCTCCTACTTGTAGGACATGACTCTATTCACTTCCTAGGTAAGAAACACAGTGACTAGAGACCAAACTCATCACAAGTCTGATTTTGGAAGCAAACCAGTTTACTAGGCAAATAGCAGGTTGTGTAAGTCGTGTGAGATAGGGGCATCCCCCACTGTCAGCCTTACCAAAGCAGGGTGGGATATGCTCAGTATCGCCCATCCTTTCCCTAGTCCCTTTCTTTCTGTTAGCTGCTCAATCCCATGGACCTTTTCAAGAAGGCAGACCAAATTGTGGCATCAATTTACAACACTGTGACATCAGCAGAAATCTTGCTTTCTAACACAAGCAGTTTAAAAACGCTTTTTATCATACTTTCTCTCCCACATGCATTTGATTGCAGGATAGTGACATCTTCACCAAATTTAAGAGCACTACTGACAGCGTGATGAATGCCTCATCAAATGAACACTCGGATCTCTCTTTTTTTGTTAAAATGGTAAATAAGCAGCTCTCTCCCCAGAAATTAAGAGAAAATATGTACCTGTGAGTCAGTCCAAGATACCAGTGGAAAATATTCCATAAATCCTGTTTTTGGGGGGCATGCCATATATACATGATTATGATCAAAATATTTTTTAAAAATACCTAGTTTAAGACAAGTGAACCTTAGGGAAAAAAACCGTAAGTAATGTGACTATTAATGATGACTATGTATTTTTCACATGCTACACCTGAAAAGAAAACAGTCTGAGGGAGCTGCTAGTATACCACACTGGTGTTAAGCTGAAATATTTGTAGACTGAAATTGTATACCATAATTAAGAAAAAAACCCCTAATTTTAAGGTAAGCTTATGACAGTTATTTAACATTAGAAATGAAAAATCAATCACGAAAGAGTTGTAGTAATCATAAACAAGGTAGTTGTATGCAGCAGAAGTTCCTTATATAAGAAAGATCAACAAGGAAAATACTTTTCTGTCCTCTCCTTGCCTTGTGAAGTCTTATGCATTTGACAAGGTTGCATAATAGTGGGCTTCACTGTTTAAGTACTGAAAGAAGCCTTATTCTTCTGCTTGCATGCTTTTCCCTTATACATGAAAAAAAGGGCTTAAATAAATTCAAGAAGATCCAAAGATGTGACTTTTTATAAATAGCACTCATAATGGCCAAAGATTTTGCAGCACGGAAAATATCTAAATGCTGAGAAAAGTGTTGCTCGCAATCAACTGAGTGCGCTCTTCTTCCATGTCAACCTACAAAACGGTAGTGCTAGTTTGTGCTTCTTTTGAAAACAAAAATAAAAGCCACAACTTACTTGTGCCTGAAAGCAGAGACAAAGGAGCAATACTGGCAGCTGTACTTGTCTTCCCGGGTAAACATGGCCAGAGCCAAGTGACTCCTCTCGTGAGATCGCAGACCCTGCATAGACATCAAAACCCGGTCACACTGGCTGCAGTGGTAGCCCCCAGGCCTGGTTTCATCTTCCAAGGATGCTCCAGATTCAGCTTCTGTAAATTCCACAATGCCAGGGTCTTTGGCTCCCTCACAACCCTCCATCAAAGTTGTGTTTGAAGGATCTTCAGCTTCCTGCTAAAAAACACATACCCCCCCAAAGCCATCAATTCTCTCTCCCTTCTGCCCCTCAGTCTTTCCCACGTGTTCATTACAATGCCTAGGTTTTCCACTGCATTATTTTTCTAAATATATCCCTACACAAACTCCACATCAATGGCTTTCTGAAAAATCGGCCTGCTCTTGGGAGGGCAAAACATAATTATATCTATTATATACATGTGTGCATACGTAAAGGAAACTCACTCCTTGATTGAACTTGTGTCTGATGCAAAAAGACAAGAAACGGAATCAACTATCTTTCAATAGTCTTGAAATGAATCTTCTAAACTTGATCAGACAAACATTAGTAAGGTATAGAGCAAATTCACTTTAGTTTATTTTGCTCTAGCTTACAGTGTACCTACTCGGCATACTAAACCAATAGCCTAGTCTACAGTAGACTTGTTCATCAGTGTCAAATTCACAAGAAAGAAGCCAGTAGCTAAGGCCCTAGAATCCCCTTTAAAAATAAAAAGCAAACAGAAAAAGTCTTATCTTTATTCCCTAACTTGCCTTTCCCTTTCTAACCAGAGCATGCATTTTTGCAGAAACTTTAATAACCTATGAGAGTATTCGCATCACATTCTTTCAGCCGTGGATTTTGGCTTTTGTTTCCTGCTGCAATATTTCTGTTTACTCAGAAGAAAGCACTGACCCTACATAAACTTCATCTGGGGAGCAGCGAAAAGAGGAAAAGGTCTGTTCGGTGGGAAGCACCTGAATCTGTCAGTAGTAACAGGTAAGGTAAAGTCAGGTCAGTGGTAGGGCAAGGAAAGCTCTCTCAGGCAGCAAAAGTTAGGCAATGAAGGACTCGGCTTCCTCACAACAAGCAGATGATGTCGGGAAAGAAGCACTTTTAAGTCAGGCACTGAGACCTGTAGTAGGAGTCTTTGCACGAGAAGGAATACAGCTAGTTCCCACAGCCTTGCTGCACTTTCACTACCCCTGCTGATACCCTGGAAATTGCGCTGTGGAGCACGGCCTATCCTTGGAGAAGTACCAGCTGGCATCCCCTTTCACAGGGAGAAAGGAACAACACATTTACACCTAATCACCTGAATGGGACCACCGGCTCAGCTGGCCACTGAATGTTTTGTTTGGAGCCAGCGTGCAAATTTCATGCGGAAAGGTGAACCACAAGCAACTTCGCACATCTGCATGTGCACACTTCCTCTTCTTAAAAAAAAAAAAAAAAGAAAACAAGCAGCTCTTTCAGGGTTTAACTAAGCAGAAAAGTAGCCCAGAATAGCTGAGAGAAAGCCTCCTACTCATAAACCAAGTCTTTCGGTCATCAACGACATCAACTCCTTTGCGGCTGAGAAGAAATGAGAATTAAATAGTCTTCGTGCCCCTGGATCAAGAGTGGAAAAAAGTTAAAACATCTTAAAATGAACCAAACGCACTTCAGAAACTTAGTGTTAAATTAAAACATCATGTTGAACTGGAATACCCAGTTCAAAACCCATTCAACTTCACAAAAGGCCTCCATAGGCTTTCAATGAGTCCTTTATTTTAAACAATTCAGGAAGCTGCAGTCACCTTCAGTCACCTTTTCAAAATTCTTACCTTTACTGTAGCTGACACAGAAGAGACATTCCCATACTGGACATGCTTGCGGAGGTGATTACAGATAGCTCGAAGTGTTGGATGGACTTCCACACAAAATTTGCATTTGTAGCCAACCACCTTCCTCTCCTTAAGTTTTGAAACATCTTCCAAGTGTCCAAAAGCCTGTTTGAGTGCACAAGCATAAATCACTAAAGTACACTTTGTTAACCTCATTTTTAGGAACACAGATCAGATTTTACACCTGAAGGGAAATTATGCTCTATGTACACACCCTGCTTTACAGAACTGCAAAGTGCATTTTTGTGGATGTCTACTAATGCCTCCAGAGTGAGTGGACAAGACATCTGTGCAGGAGAAACCTTCAATTTCTGCAGAACAGTGGTCCTCTAGAAGACCACTCAGTTTGGCCTGAAACTGGCCTCTTTCATGGCACCGCAACACCCCCAAAATCTGTGGGGAGCTTTTGCCCAGCAACTGAAGCAGAAGGAAGGGGGTAAGCAGGCAAGAAAAAGAGCACAATTTGGTCTTCTGCTTACAAGGCACTTGCCCAGAGCTTCAGTCACCAGATAGGCTCATGTCATGTTAATACCATGTCCTTAATCAAAGAAAGTACTGAGAGGGAGAGAGAAGCTTGAGAAGGAAACTGATTCGTTATTCAGAGGTACACTGAAGAGGGGGATGGGACATTTTGTAAAGAATCTGTAACAAAGTACATGGCAGCCTTGCCATAAAAGAACAAGTAACTGTCAGATACAGATGGCCTTCCAGAAGGGTGGGAGGAAGGAAAGAAGACAAAGAAAATACTGGAGGAAGCAGTAGGAAGGAGCAGGGCTTCCTACAGAACCTTGGGAGGGGTGGAGGATGGATGAGGAAATTAAAGCAGAATGTGTAATTGACTTCTGGAGCTCACTGGCAAGCTGAGTCATTCATTAGCCTGTGGTCATTTGGCTGTCAAAGAGAACATGCAAGTGGGCATTAGTAATAGGCAGAGTCTTGGGGTGCAGAAAGAAGCCTAGTGTTTTTGCTTCTCTCCCCTGGCAGGGAGCAGGGAAAGAGACCAGACATACAAATCCTTACCCTCTCTTGCTTGAAATCTGCAAAAGCACCATCTGCATATTTCTGCTTGCTTAAAAGCTGCTTCCTCCTCTCCTGACGTTTGGCACGCTTCTGGAATTCCTCATTGTGACCATTCAAGTGTGCGGTCAGCTCTGCTGTGCTATGCAATTTCATATCACAGTGCTTGCACTGGTAGAGAGGGTTCTGAGTGCGGGTGCCGCTTCCCAGTATGGTGAAGTCCCTCTTCAAATCCTTGCTGTGGTGGTCGGTGTAATGCATGCACAGCAGCTCTGCTGTGCTGAAGGACAGCTTGAAACATTTTATGCACCTGAAGGGAAGCCACTCAATCTCCTGAGCCTCAGTCTCCACCTCAAGCTTTTCAAAGTCATTCCTCTCCTCGGCTGGAGTTGGCTTTTCATGCTCATCGGCATACACGGCAGTGAAGTAACCCCCCAGCTTGCTCGCATGCTGCTTCTTAGGGAAAACACCAGGGTGACGCTTCATGTAGTGGGACACAATACCCTTTTTGCTGAAGGACTGGAAGGAACAAAGTGAACATTTCTTCTTCTCTACAGCTCTCCTCAGCTCCTCGCTTAACTGAGGAGTGTCATCCTTGGGAGGAGATGGAATGATCACTTTATTGGGTTTGTCGCTTACCGTCCTGGAGGCTGCTAAGCAGTGAGTGTAGTAAGCATCAATGTCATGTCTTTTCTGGTAGTGTGCCGCAAGCCCTTTACGGATAGGATTGGTATACGAACACAAAGCACATTTAAAGAGGTTGTTCTTGCCCTCTGGCTGTGCCCGGACATTGTTATGTTTGATGCGGTAGTGCCTAGCTATCCCCTTCCGGGTCGAACAGAAATATTTGCAGAGCTGACACCGGAAAACTGTGTGAGACACTAAATGAGAACTGGAGAAACGAGGTCCTGGCACAGAGATTTCTCCAACATCCTCAGCAGCAATTTCGGGGGAGGCCTTGATTTCAGTTACCATGTCTGGCTCCACTGGGGCAGACATTTTTGGTGGTGACTGGGCAAAAACATCAAATTCAGGTTGATTGTGGTACTTCTCATAGTGAATTTTCAGCTTTTCAAGTGTTCCATGGGTGTAAGGGCAGAGTTTGCACCGATAAGCACCATAGCCTTGCTTGAAAATCCTACTTGTCTCTTCTACGTCATTCTGAGCAATATCATTTGACTGCTCCACATCATGCACAAAGTCTTCAGCAGTGACTTTTACTGATGGGTGCCGTTTCTGGTAGTGTGTGAGAACGCCATGAATACGTGTATTAATGTATGGGCAATGTCTGCATTTATATACAGCCCCTGGGTTAATGTCTATATCCTGAGCAAAGTCCGCAGCTTTCACTTTCATGCCAGGATGCTTTTTGCCATAATGTGTCAGGAGGCCGTGCAAGTTGTTGTATTCAGACTGGCAAACTGTACACTGGTATGGAGTGGAGGAGATGGCAGGGTTTGCAGAAGCCAGCTGGACAGCTTTTTCCTGGGATAGGCTGGGATCATCTGCACACTCTGCATCCTGATCCATCTGTGATGTTGTTATCTGGTCTTCAGAATCCATCCTGGTCCCAGCGTCATCGGGCTGCGGGATGGATTTCTCAGCAGCATCTTTCTCCTTAATGATATCTAACAACACAGATTCATCTCCATTCATGGCCCAAGGGTGAAATGCTTGGTAGTGATTAGTAATGTCCCAAATGGAAGATGCTTCAAAAATGCAATCTCTACATTTATAGCTCTTTAACTCTGTTGGCATCACTAGGGCAGGAGGGGAAGGATCAGGACCTGCCCAGAGTTTAGTTGCCATATATGTATAGTCAACATAATGCTCAGGATGTCTCCTTTGGTAATGCACAAGCAAACCACTTGGCTCTGTGTGTGAATAAATGCACCATTCACAGTGATAACCAACTTCTATTAAGCCATCCAAGAATGCCCATCTCAGAATGGATGTGACCGTGGCCTTCAGACTCGGGTGGTCTTTCTTAATATGCTTCCTCAGCGCATAGAAGTAAGGTGATGTGTAGCTACACTGCCTGCACTTGAGGGCTCTCAGCTTTGACTTGTCCCGTTCGGTGCTGGAGGTGTGAGAAGGTACGCTGCCAGTCGATTTCTTCTGGCTACGATCACAAAGGCTTCTAATGGTGGCTGTATGCTGCCTGATGACATCTGCGTTAGCTTTGAAGTCACGATGCTTCTTTTGATAATGAATAAGCACGCCTTTCACAGTCCGATTTCCATAATCACAGTGTTGGCAGAAGAACATTTCGTTCTCAGGAGGATTCACAGAGGTCTCAGATCCACCCCGGCTCAACTGCTGCATTGACACTGGTGGCCTCTGAATACCAGGTGGCAACTCACCAGCCCTCATCATCGCTGCGGTGGGGGGTGCCTGTCTGATATATTTGGCAGTGACCTTTATCTCTGGGTGCCTTTTCTGGTAGTGGACAAGCACTCCCACAACTGAGCGGTTGCTGTACGAACAGTGCTTGCAATAATAGAGCTCGGTAGCAAGGTCTGGGGGTGGTGGTGGGGGAGGTGGAGGTTGAGAAGCCAAGTTGGACAGTTTTGGGGAGACAGGCGTCCCCAACTCAAAAGACATCTGAGCCAGGGCAGAGCCCCTGTCAACAGAGACTACACGCATGGTCTTCTGAATTCTGAAATATGATGCTTTTTCTTCAGGGTGCTTTTTCTGGTAATGCACCAGAACCGAATGCATGTTAGGGCTTGCAAATGAACACACGTCACAGTCATAAACAACCACAGTATTGACTGCAGGTTCCTTCTGATTTTCACATTCAGGACTAAAACTCTTGGCGGCACTTTTGTTATAACCAGCTGGCACACCAGCCCCGCGAGCCACGGGGGTGGAGGTTGCCATAGTTTTTGGAGCAGAATTCAAGATCTCTCTCAGTGTCTGAGACTCTGTGTTCAGCCCTTCTTGCTGCTCAATGACATAGCTTGAAAATATCATTGCATTGTTAATTTTCACTGTGGGATGCATTCTTTGGTAATGTGGCATCAGGCTTCTAACATTCGGGCTTGTATAAGAGCAGAAGCGACAGCGGTAGATCAGATCAGAATGATCAAAGTTCAGTACATTCATAGCTTCAGGGTGATGCTCTCCATAATGCTGCTGCAGGTCTTCGAAGTTTGTGTAGTCAATATAGCACTCAAGACATCGGTATACTGCACTGTGATCATTTGGATCCAGGATATACCTAAAGCTGAATTTAATATAGGGATGCATTCGCTGGTAGTGGGTGCTAACACTTCTGGCAGATTTGTTGCTGAAATCACAGTGTTTACAATAGTAAAGCCTGCCAGAGTCATTAAACTCTGAATTCTCGTTGTTCTGATCAGTACCATACATGTTTGACTGGTTCCCCAGAACAGATGCATTAGGGCTCTGATGGCCTTTCATGCTGACAGAAGAATAATAGTCTTCCTCATCTTCAGATAAAGTGAGCTCAATCTCCGCTCCATTGGTGGAATTGTAGTCATGCTGCATGCTTCTAAAATTTGTCTCCTTCTGGGAATCATTAGACTCTCTGCCCCACATTTGCTGGGGTGCGTAAGAACTGGAAACCTCTATCATTGGTTCTGTTTGCTCCTCTTCTCTGTCTAACTCCACTTCTATCTCCACCTCATTGTCCTCCTCCTCTTCCTCATCATCTTCTACATTAATCACAGCATCTTCTTGCTGTTTGTTTTGGTTGATCTTACTCTGCAGGTTGCTCGCTATTTCATCAATTCTAGTTCTCTTTTTCACTGGAGAGAGATCTAACGGGAAGTCATTTGACACCTTCCGAGGGGCCTTCGCAACAAAGTTATTTTTAGATGATAGCCCAAGGATGGAGGTCTGGCTCTTCTTCACTGTGCTGGCAGAGGGGTGAGCATCTGTCTCACTCTCTTGTGGTGTGTTTGATGGCGGTCCATCATATTTTGGCAAGTTGTCACAGAATGAATGCTTGTGCTGCTGATGAACTCTGAGGCCTTTCAAAGTTGTGGTGGAATAGTTGCACATTGTGCACTTGTATGGATGCTGTGAATGGGGCTGAGGAGACTGCTGTTGTTGCTGTTGCTGCTGTGGCTGCACCGGTTCCATCATCCCAGCTGACTTCCTGCCATTTATATTGCCACTCTCATAAGACACTGTGCTGTCATTCAAAGAAGAGGCAATGCTTTCACTCTGGGAGTTCATAGCGTCCCAGTCTGATGTTGTTCCTGTGTGACATTGCTTGTGGGCACCAAGCTTTAACGAACTCTTGCAGGTAAAGGGGCATTCATCACACTTGTACACAGCTGTCTTCCCAGACAGGTGGATGTTCTCAATGTGACGGGAAATGCTTCGGCGGTGCATTGTCAGGAAAGGGCAAAAAGGACACTGGAACCTGTTCATATACCTTCTAAAGGGAATCCCCTTTGTTTCCAATAGTTTGTTGCCATCAGATCCCATCAGCTGCTCTGCAGACATTCCTGAGGTCTGGTGATCCATGGAGTTCAAGCCATTCTCACTGTCCATTTCATTTAGCTCTTCATCTGAGCTGGAGTCATTTAGCATACTGCTTGTTTCCAGGTCAGCAGAAGAATTTGTCATATCAGCAATTCCATAGCGGGATCTGTCAGACAAATTAACTATGCCCGAGTTGTGAGATGACTTAGGCTTCATTTGAGGGTAAGACATAGAAGAAAACTTGGAAGATGTAGAAGAGTTGGGCCTGATAAGAGAATTGGCCATAGAGCTCCTGAAGTTTGAGATATTAGCATTCGACATCTCACGTCCTGTTGTACTCATTGAGACATAATTAGAGCTTGGAGAGGCATTCTGGGCACTCTTACTCTGTACATCAGGTGCACCAGTTCCATCTTGTTGCTGCCTCAGGCTTGACAGTATTTTTACCATGCTGCGGTGCTTCTTCATCATGTGGTCACACCAGCGCTCCCTTCGAGGTGTCTGGTAGCTGCACCATTCGCAGCAAAAGTTGCCCCTAGATTTTGTCAGGGGCTTGACCATGGATTCCAAAATGCTCCGCTCCACCACCTCTGCAGGCAGCTCCTTGCAGGGTTCCTGCACTGGCACAGAAGCAGATGTTGATTCAGACATAGCAGCAGCAGCAGTAGGAGGGGTTGAACTCTCTTTCAGGTTGTTTTTGTGATACATTTTCTGGTGCTTAATAATCCTCGCGCGCCTGGGTGACTTGTAGGTGCAGAACTGGCAACTGAAAACTTTGCCAAACCCTTCATGCATCATGATGCTGTAATTTAGGGCACTAGCAGTCGGTGGCCCCACTGAGCTCCCCCCAGCCTGTGTTCCATGAACCTTGCGTGTGTGCTCTATGAGGAGGTTTTTGGAACGGAAGTAACGCACACAGAACTTGCACTGGAAAAACTTGTTGGTTGGTTTGGGATTTGGAGCCATGTGCTGACCATAGAAAGTCTGGCTCTGGCTATAGTAACTTCCAGTTCCCATCTGACTTGTTGTATTTTGCCCTAAAATGAGAATTAAGGTGTATATGTAAATAAATAAAATCAAATAAAGAGGCTTTTTCTCCACCCACCTTGTGCGCGTAAGAATGTAACCACATCCTGAATAGATAATAACCACACCAGGATTCCCTCACTTACTTATGGTGAGATCTACATATCTGGCAATGGTCAGAAAGAAGACCATTACACACAGAGGCTACATATATATGACCATGGTGTACAGTTTGGGATAGGTAATTTCCAAAATAATCTTCCTGGCAAAAAAAGAAATCTGGTACACTAATAAAATTGAAAATTTTGAGATGGTTCATGGTAGTGAAGAACAACCATGAAAATCTGAAAACCAAGAAGTAATACATGAAGCGCAGATGGGGAATAAAATCACCCTCCATGTTTACATTTACAGAAAAAGCCACGATCAGAACCAATATGGCTGAAGCTAGACATTTGCTTTGCTGACATAGCAATAAAGATAATGAAAGTATTTAAAATTACATTAAAAGTAGAAACTAAAACACACTGGAATAAACCATAGGTAAAACAGAGGGTAGGAGCTGAGATCTTAGAGTTGAGATCAATCAGAATTGAGATTTACCTGCTATTTCATCTGAAATCGTAAATTCATCCTTTACTGAAGAATATTCAACCTCAGTCTGGTTGCTAGCATTCATGGAACCAGACCTTGGCTGGCTAGGACTTTCCTCAGAGACATCAGTTGGCTGCAGAAAAGCAGTGTGAACATCCTGAATGTGAGCTTTTAGGTCTTCATAAGATGGAGCTCGAAAATCACAGCCATCACACTGCAGCACCTCCATGGTTCAGGGATAACCTTTTACATTAGAAAATTCTACAAGAAAAACAGGGGAAGGAGAGAAGAAGAAAGAGATACATTTTACAGCAATGCCATTGTGACGAATCCTGAAAACAGGCAATACCAAGCTTATGATGACTCAGTCATTTCCAGAGATTCCGCAAATCCTGTGGCATAAAACTCAACCTTAGCTTACCATATTAAGAGCTATCCATTCAGATTCACATAAAGTTCTATGTAGGTAGCTCACAAGTTGGTGACTCAACACTACAGTCAGCTTTCTGACAAGTGACTACTGATTCAATGGACTTTGTCCTCTTGGCTTCTCCATTACACAGGATAGGGCTGTTGTTCAGAAGTTTGTCTTGTTCTAAGACCACAACCCATACGCTACAAAAACAGTACATTACTCCCAATCATGCACTGAAACTTAACATCAGAAGACAGTGGCTTCTGCCTTTACGACACCCACTCTGACTTTCATGGAAGTTGCGAAGTCCTGCCTGTTTCACCACCATAGATCAAAAGCCTTCACAGGAAGAAACTTGCCTTTCTTCTCAAGATGCTATCAGTCCTGATGTTAGTGGAAAACTTAGACATAACTGCAAGATGAGATGCAGCTACATGAACCCAAGGTAGCAGGCTTCACTCTGCGCTACTTCCACCAAGCTTTGTATGGATATCTCCATTCTTTGTTAAAATGTTTAGTTTCATTTTAGTTTTTTTTGCCAACACGACCTTCGTGCGTTAGCAGTCTGGGGGCTGGAAAAAGCTGGAGGAAGAGAGGGACAGCAATGGGAATAGGAATACTGCAGAAGCACAATGGAAACAGGAGTTACAAAGACTCAGAGACATCATGACTTCCTTGATTTATCCAAAAGCTTTGCATACCTTGAAGTACAAAGCAATGTAAGGCATGGTAACATGAAGGCTGGTGGTTCAGCTTGTGACCAATTAATCCTGCAACAGAGTTGTACATTTCTGCACCACCATGAAGGAGAGGAGACACCAAGCACAAGCAAGACAAAAACATTAGACCCTTCTATTCTGTGCAGTACTCAGGCACAAAGCAACCTTCCTATGTTAATATGGGAATTAATTCTACAAGCTTCCATGCGCTGCACTGGGAAAGGATGATAAAATGAGCCTTTCAGAGGTCCAAGACACAAGGGCAGCTCAAAGTACCGAAAATTCCACGTGTTTATTGTATGTAGAGTATGAAACGACTTCCACAGTGAAGAGAAAGCTCCAAAACATCAGAGGACAGAAACAAGAGATGGCATTGCATCAGGATTTTATATGAAAGAACACTTCTTCTGATAGCTGGCTAAAATAAACTTCTAGCAAGTCAAATTCTGGATAGTCTGAGCACAGAGGCTCTCTTCATTATTTACCTACATTACTTTGCAGGCTCCACTGTGTCCTTCCCCCCCCCGCCCCCCCACTCCCTCCCACCACCAAAAACGAAAATGAACGCTGCACCAGCTTCTTTTCAGCTAACAAAGTTACAATAATCGAGATACTCAAGCTTTTATGTGCAAGCACCAGACCAAATTGTGTGGAAGAGGTTGCTATCTGCTCTGGATCAAATTACAGCAGTGACTGAAGCCCCACCCCACGTCTCCTTTAGCACAGTCCATTAGACCTGAAAACAAATTTTTCCATGGAGCAGACGACTCCTGCATTTAGAGCACTTCACAGAAAAGCAGATCATCCAGTTTTCACTACCCATCCCCCAAGCTTCGTCTTTTCATCTCCGCCAAACAAGCCACAGCTCTGCTGAATGTGTTTATCACACTTTCAAGAGATATGAGCCCCTGCGTCACTGAAGCTTTAAGACTCACTAAGCTGCCCTAGTCCTCTGAGCTTTGGGAGCAGCCATTTTAGCTCAGACAACTCCTGCACTCAGAGGCTCAGAGCTTCTCGCCTGTGCACAACATGGCCTCACTTATCTCAGCTTCATCTCAAGCACACCAGGCTTTTTATTTTTTCCCCTTTTTTTTCCTCCTCTTCCTCAGGTGTCGCTTGAAAAATCAGCATCCCCAGAACATACCTCCCCTTTTCCTGCATGACTAGCACCCCAAGTCATGTCACCACTGTCCCCCTGCAATGCCCAAGCAGCACCTTCCAGCCCTGAGCAGATGGCCTGCAAGGACCTCCTCGGGCTGGTTCCCCTGTCCCATGGATGACAAATGTGACGGTTCGTTCCAGAAACGGAGCATTACAGCATCAAGACACTGGTCCAAGCTGTCCTACAGGCACAGGCAACGGACAGCTGAGGCTCCCGGCGAGGGGGGGAAGGCAGGCAGGAGGCCTCCAGCAGGCCCTGTCCCTGGGGAGCCCTCCTGCTTGGCGCAGAAGACACACAACCCCACTCCCCTGCCAGATTCCAAAGTCTAATGACCTTTGTTAATCACCAGCCAGCCTGTCTGCATCAGCAAACCCTGCCAGCAGACACACCCTTCACACAAAGGCTGTAGCTATGCCTTTTAAGAGAGGTTCTCTGAAAGCTCCATTGTGTAGAACAGAGGAAAAACAACACACACACACACACACAAATCCCGTCCCCGCCCCCCCGCCCCGGGAAAACTCCAGACCCTTTAGTAACACCACCACAAAACGCTTTCAGCTCTCTTCTGGAAACTTCAGGCCAGCTTGTAAAACAGAAAACCAGAAGGGAGAGCAAGCCTGAGGTTCTGAAACAAGATAATCCTGGCACCTTCAAGAGGTAAAAGCCACCGCCGTCCCTATCTCCAGAAGTCACGATACACCGATGCTTGGAGAAGGTATCCTCGAGGATGCTGGTTGCTGTCTAGACAGTCTTAAACCAACAGCACCCTTCTGCTACTAATCAGAAGGAAGAGTTGTGACACCGCTACTAGCTGCTGATTACAAAAACTGATGGAGACTTTCTAATGGGTTCCAGCCTGAATCTCAGCAGGGTCTATATCACAAAGGTAGCAGCAAGTCAGAGAAGAAGTTTATCTTATTGCAGCTATGAGGAACAAACATCATGTACAGCTGAGTGGACTTCAATTTGATGTTTTCACCATGCATCACACTGAAAGCAGGATGAAGCATTTTGTAAGGAATTCTGCTCTACCATGTCCACATTTTTCTTTAAAATTCAGGCATTGCACAAAGGCAAAGAAAAACACAAGCTGCTAGTTTGAGGTCATATATCAAAAGAAACAGAAACACAATATGTGTCTTTCGCTCTCCTTTTTTGTCTGCATGGGATATGGAACTGAAACACACCTACCCACCAGATAAGTGCATTTTCAAGTACAGATGTTAATACACTGGCAAGACACACACCCCAAGCAACGGAGACAAAGCAAGATTTGCACGTTTCCATCATGACCAGCTAAGCCAATGCATTCCATAATCCTTTAAATTTTCAAACAGCACAGTAAGGAAATTTGGAGGAGAATGGAGGTGAGTGAGAGAGTTTGGAGCTACCAAATTCACTAACTCAAAAGCAGAACAGGAAGTCTGGGGGAAAAAAAAAACCAAACAAAACACAAAACAACCAAACACAACCACCATGAAATGAATCCATAAATCCCACAAGCTCTCTAACATATTCACAAGCAATCTCTTGAGACCACATTGCCCACAGATAATGTGATTCTAAAATACCCTTACTAATGCGATGCTAACCTCACCAAACAGATTATTAAAATGCCACTGACTAATTTGCATTTACAACCTCTTCTTAAAATATACAGCTTTAATGCTTTATATGGAGAAGAGGTATTCTCATTTTGCTTATGAGCAGAAAGCTTCCAAAACATCAGGCAAAAGAGATTCTCAAAGCCAGTTTTAAACACCCAAGGTGAAGTCTCAAATTGTCTTCAACATCCTTCTCCACAATCACAAATGTGTGAGAACATCAGAGACAGTTATATGAGATCTCCAGGTTTTTAAAAATCAAAAACAAAAGATAATTGTGCTTGTTGAACAAGTCATTACAGAATTTGGCAGCAGCCAAAGTAGTACAAACCATTATGTTTAAGTTTGGTTTTAAAGCTTCAAAATACAAAATTAATTGTTAAGCCCAAGGCACTGACCTCAAAATTGAACTTCTGTGGTTTGACTACCCATCCGTTATATTTTGAGTTGGAGTCAGCACAGCTTCTAGAAGTTAAGAATATGCACATGCACAACCACAACTGAAAAGGTCAGTCAGACCACACACAGTATGTGAACTTCCAGCTCAGTATTAGTAACTTCACATGTAAAACAAATTCATCTCTGGTTCTCCAAACCTTCCTCTGCTCAGATGATCAGAAGCATCTTCATCTCTACCTCATCCATGCAGGTTGTGCAAACAGCTTTCATTTTATTCTGTGCTAAGGTGGACCTGAAAGAAATTTCTTCTCCAGAAGAGTGACTAAGCACTGGAACAGGCTGCCTAGGGAAGTGGTCGAGTCACCTGTCCCTGGAGGTATTTAAAAGTTGTGTATGTGTGGCACCTAGGGACCTGGTTTAGTCGTGGACCTGGCAGTGCTAGATTTACGGTTGGACTTAATGATCTTAAAGGTCCTAAATGATTCTATGATTCTGTGCCGTTACGCACCCCTCACACCAGCAGAAACACTGCCAAACCCCTCCCAACTGGAGAAAGTCCCCCTGGAGACACAAGCGTGTGCCGGGGCCTGGAGGGGACCCACAGCCCTCCTGGGCTCCCTCACAGCCCACGACCCCATTTCGCCCCCTGAGGCCATCAGCTCTCACCCGAGCGACGCTGCAGCAGGGCCGGTCTCCAGCTCCCCACAGCCCTCCCCTGCGCGCCGCCCGGCCTGGCCCACCTGCAGGCCCACCGCCTGGCCAGGGCCCGGGGAGGTTCCCGACGACCGCCCAGGGCTGA